CCGTAGCCATCATCAGCAACCTACAGAGAGAGGTCAATTTCATCACTAGGGGAAAAAAAAGGACTTCTTTAATAAGTCCCGATTAGGGTGGGGGTAGGGGCTCAATCCTGGAATCCAGCACTGGAGAGGCTGAAGCAGGAGGACTGAGATGGTTCAAGACCATGGACTGTATAGTGAGTGGGTTTGAGGCCAATGCAAGGACAATGGGATGGGCTTGAAGTTAGAGGGTGGGCCTGGCGGTACTTACTGGCCCAAAGCCGCCTCCACAGGACACGTAGTCAGGGTATTTCTCAAAGTCGAACAGCTCCACCTGCTGCTGAGGAGTTTGGCTAGTGGATAGCCTCCATGGCTCAGACAAAACCTGTGCCAAAGAAAGAAATGTCCAGATGATGCCTTCCCACCACCACCACCACCTAGCTGTCAGCACGGCTGAGAATCACCTCAAACATCCTCAACTCAGTACCTGCATCATATTGGTTTGTGCACCTATCCATGGAAAACTGTCTCAACTGAGGCGGGACAGTCCAGCTCACTGTAGGTGGTTCCATTGGCTGGACAGGGTGTCCATCCAGCTGGACAGGGCTAGAGAGATGGATCAGCGGCTCAAAGCACTTCTTGCTCTTGCAGAGGACCCGGGTTTGACTGCTAGCATCTACACGGTAGCTCACAACAGTTTACAATTCCAGTTCCTAGACAGCCCTCTGGGCACTGCATACGTGACGCACGTACATACACATGCAGGCAAAATACTCTTGCATGTAAATATACACACTTTTTTGTGTGTTTGTTTTTCAAGACACAGTTTCTCTGTGTAGCCCTGGCTGTCCTGAACTTGCTTTGTAGGCCAGGTTGGCCTCGAACTCACAGAGATCTGCCTGCCTCTGCCTCTCTCCAAGTGCTGGGACTACAGGTGTGTGCCACTGTGCCCAGCTATGAAAATATTTTTTTAAGGAAAGTTAACTAAACATGAGCCTGTGCACAAGTCAGCAAGGAACTTCTTTCGTGGTTTCCGCTTTGAGTTCCTGCCCTGACTTGCGTGGATGGACTGTGACCTGGAAGTATAAGTCAGATAAACCCTTTCAGCCTCACGTGGCAAGTGGTCAGTGTCCTAAGACAGCATTAGAAAGCAATATAGAAGACCTGAGGACCCCTAACAGGCAAGGAAAGACCTGCCTGGTCAAAAAGACCATCTCCCCAAGATCCTGAGGGCTGCACAAAGGTTAAAGTGTGTAAGCAGGAGGCCCTTCCCTGATTAAACCACTGGTCACTCAGCAGGTGAAGGAAAGTCAAGGACACTCCCTATGAACCCCCCCTCTAGATGTCCAAGGACTCTTCAATCTGGTTTTTATATGGCATTGTTAAAAGCCAGTATGCTGATGCACACCTGTGATCCCAACATTCAGGAGGCTAAAGCTGGGGGATTGCTTTTTAAGGATAGTCCTGACTACCTTAGGATGCTGAGGCAGGAAAATCATTTGGACACAGGAATTTGCGAACAGCCTGACTAATATGGTGAGCCTATCTCAAAAATTAAAAAAAAAAATTAACTTACAATTAAATATTAAGAACAAAGGTGAATCCAGATGTGGTAGTGCACACCTTTAATCACAGGTGGATCTCTGTGGGGTTTGAGGGCAGTGTAGTCTACATTCCGAATTCCAGGGCAGCCAGGGCTACAGAGTGAGACCTTAACTCCCCCCAAAAATATGGCTAGAGAGATGGCTCAGAGGTTAAGGGCATTGGCTGCTTTTCCAGAGGACCTGGGTTCTCAGCACCCACTGGCAGCTCACAACCATTTGTAACTCCAGTTCCAGGGGATCTGACACCCTCCACCAACACCAGGCATGTGCACAGATAAACATGCAGGCAAAACCAGTCATACACATAAAATAATAAAAAACATTAAAAAAAAAAAAAAAAGAACAGAAATAGCTGGGCACGGTGGCGCACACCTTTGATCCCAGCACTCAGGAGGTGGAGGCAGGCGGATCACTGTGAATTCGAGACCAGCCTGGTCTACAAAGTGAGTCCAGGACAGTCAAGGCTACACAGAGAAACCCTGTCTCAAAAAACAAAATAAAATGAAGGGCTGGGGAAATGCCTCCGTGGGTAGGATTGTTGTCTGGGCAAGAATGAAGACCTGAGTTTGGCTCCTCAGAATCCATGGAAAAAACTGGGGGCAGCTCCGAACGCCAGCAACCCTGGTGCTAGGTGTGAGTACTGCAGGGCATTGCTCCCTGTCTTGCCAAAAAAAAAAAAAAAAAAGAGAGAGCTGAGCCTGGAGGTTCAGTTCTCAAGGGAATAAGGTGGAGGGTGATGATGGAAGATATGTGATGTCTTCTGGCTTCCACGTGTGTGCACACACGCCTGCTCAGGTGAATGTGCAGAGATTCACATACACAGAGAACAAGGCTGAATGCTCAGAGTGCATCTCCTAATTACTTCCCACATTTTACTAGCCTTCCTGTTCTGGTGTCAGGAGGACCCTCATCGGCCCTCCCAAGCTGCTGAAGAAACAGGGTACCAAAGCTGCAGCTTGCACTTCCACAGGCCCATCGCCTTTCCACCGCTGCAGCTGTGCAAGGCTGGGGCGATGCTCACTATGGTCCCCAAGAGGCGGGGCCGAACCTGACAGCCAGGCAGGCGGCTTACCTCCTTCAGGAAAGGCGAGTCGACGGCAAGATACTTGGACACCACGTACAGGCAGAAGAGATGGCGGTCAATGCCGGCGCCCGTCATGGCGAGGCGGTACAAGTGCTGGTGCTTCTCGCAAGCTATCTTGAACAGCTTGAACCTCTGCTCTGCCTAAGGGTCAACAGGAGAAGGACATGCTTTGCACGGTTCCGGTTGTGCGCCGGGCCACTTTCTCTTCAGTGGTCTGCAAAAGGCTGTGGGACGTGCCAGGGTGCGGTGACCAAGATGTCTTGACAGAGCCCCACCAGCCCACTCTCCCTTCCCAGATTCCTGCCTCTGAAGGGCTGTGGGGCGGGCAGGTGGGTGCAGAGGCACCCTGTGTCGGGGTGAGCTGGTCTGATGTGGTCTCATGCTGCTGTTGGCAAACTGGGAGCTCTCTCCCAGCTCTGTCTCTGTCTCAGTAGAAGAATACTGACCCTCCTTGGCAGTTCTGCTAACATGGTACCTTCAGGGCTCCAGTGTGACCCAAGTGGGATGCTTCAGGGGACTGCATGAGGGTCCTCTGGGCTTGAGTTACAGGAATGATGGCGGAAGACACCAACATTTACCTCTGGCCCCCATTCACACTCACATACACACAGCACACATATACACACTCACGCTATACACAGCACACACACACACACACACACACACACACACACATAGAGAGAGAGAGAGAGCGAGCAAAAATTCTGGAATTTTGGTTCCTTTAAAAACTGAAATCTGTAGAAAAATTTTAATTCAGAACATGGCTGCTCCGGCAAGAGATCACATCCAAAGACCTTCTATTTGTGTGATCTGCCTGGAATACAAAGACACCTTTAATCCAGGAGACAGAGGCAAGCAGACCTGAGTTCAAGGCCAGCCTAGTACAGAACAAGGTTCAGATAAAGAGAAGCTTAGGTCCAGGTATGGTGGTACATGCCTTTACTCCCAAACAATGAAGAAGGAAGCACCCATGTTTGAAAGTGATGTCTAATTGAGTGTCAAAAAATGTGATGAATCAGAGAAAGACTTAACAAAATAGGATATGCCCAACTCTCAGGAAAAGACAGGGGAAAGGGAAGCTACCTCAGGGGCAAAGAAGAGAGAAAAACAGTTTTACCAGCAATAGAGACAGGTTGTGGCGAGAGAACACAGGCGAAGACCGAATGAGCCAGAGAATGAGAAGGAACCAGAAGATTAGAAACAAACAAACAAACAAACAAACAAACCTGCTGGAGTTAGTTAGAGGCCAAGCAGAACAATCAGAGACCGAGAGAAAAGCCAGACTGTATAAGTCAGCTGGGAGAGGAGTCTGACTGAGAACAGCTGAACTGAACTAGGCAGCCCAGAAGTTCAGTGAGAGCTAGAAAGGGTGAGCTTATCAAGCAGTAAGTCTCGAGGCAGAAAACATTCTAGGCCTAGGTTAGATGGTATGGAGGCTAGAAGCTTCCAAGACTAGGCCTAGGTTAGCAGACGGAGGCGATAACAACTGAAGCAGGCAAATAAAAGTTACTTTTACAATATTATAAGAATGTGTTTTCATATTGATGGCAGGTGTGGGATATAGGCCTGCTTCAGACTGTCCGCAGCAGCTGACTCTGATTTGCCTCCTGCTCTAGCAGAGGCATGGTTTTGCCAGCAGCAGATAGTTTCTGTGACTGTGTGACCTTTGGAATTCTGGGAACTTTTCAGAGGGTATATAAGGGTCCCAAGAGGTGGGTTGTTGGTTGTTGGTCATTCAGGAGTGTTGCTTGTGGTTTGTTAGTAGTCGTGCTCAAAGAAAAAAAAAACCAAGAAAGAAATTAGATTCACAGCTCTCTTTCCCCTCCAACCTTCTTTCTTTCCTACCTAGTGATAGGGGATGAAATGGGGTTGGGGGGATAAAGGGTGGGAAAAAGAAGAACCCACAAAGTAGCAAAGACCAGATACAAGCAAAAAAGACAGAAGAAAGAAATCAGATTCACAGTCCTCTATATCTCTCTCCCCCTTCTATCTTTCTTTCTCTCCTACCTGGTGATAGGGGGTGAAACAGGATAAAGGCTGGGAGAAGGAAGAGCCCACGAAGTATCAAAGACCTGCTACATATACATATATACCACACACATACATACACATGTGAACACACACATTCACCACAAACACAGACACACAGGCTACTTCAGGTTCTGGTGGACATTACAATATCACCTAAGTAACATGTGCCCTTTCCATAGCGATATGGCAAGGCAGTGACCGCCTATGCCACACCCAGCCTCCCAGGATCCCCCCAAAAGTTCTAGTGACAGGCGGAGCCACTTGCCATCCTTTTTCTAAAGAGAGAGAGAGAAGAAAAGCAGCCTATATCTGTTGGTAGTAAGCACCTGTCTGGGGCTTGGGGACCTGACAGATCTGAATGTGGCCACCTGCTAGCTGGGACCAGCATGGACTGGATTCATCTGAGTCCACTTCAGTTTCATAAGGCTACTGCCGGGCTCCTAAGACAGAATACAGCAAGTCCTGGCTTTGTGTGGTAGAGCGGAGCAGCAGGCTCTGAACACCCCAGGGCCAAAGTCCTAGACACCTGCCAGTGACCGGTGTCCTTCTGCTTCCCGTTCCTGGGCTGCGTCCATTCTCATGTGAAAGTTCTCAACACTTATAATCTCATTCCCTAAAGCTCAGCAGACAACAATACTCTGTCTGTACGTGTCTCCGCCGAGCCTCTTAAATACTTTCTGTTCCTTTGCAAAGGGGAAAGCACAAAGAGCTAGGGGAGGGGGGGGTGCAGAAGCAGGGTGGAGGGGTGGGGAGGAGGGTATGAGTGGAGGGGTAGAGGGGAGGAGGGTGGGGCTGGAGAAGCTAGAGGGCTTCATGGTCAGCTTCTAGGGAAGTGGCTCTCAGCCTTCCTAATGCTGCCACCCTTTAATACAGTTCATGCTGTGGTGACCCCAACTGTCAAATGATCTCACTGCTACCTTATAACTGTGATTTTGCTACTGTTATGAATTGTAAATATCGGACATGCAACACCCAACAGGGTTGCGACCCGCAGTTCTACGGTCTTCCCCGAAAGCATGCAACCATGGCCTTACCGTTTTCGTGGGGTCCACCATGGCCAACACGAAGTTGCAGGACTCCATAGTACAGGAGCGTACGGTCTCTGTCCTCCCCTCTCGGAAGAGCCGAGTCATGGAGGCCTCATACGTGAGGCAGAACTTGCCCATGTCCTAGGAAGGAAGGACCACTAGCTTAGGGCTGACAGGCTGGAATGGCCATCTAAATCTACAGAAGTGAAAGGGACGGAGGAGTCCCCCCCCCTTTTATTTAAAATGTAATTGTTTGTGTTTGGGTGTTTTGTCTGCACACGCAGCTGAGCAACATGTACATGCCTGGTGTTGAGAGGACAGAAGAGGGCACTGGATTCCTGAGGACTGCAGTTACAGGCGATTTGTGAGCTGCCCTGAGGACTAGAAATTGAACCCAGGTCCTCTGGAAGTAGAGAGTGCCCTTAACTGCTGAACCACGTCTCCAGCTCCCTGGAGTCTTTCTCTGCATGGCCCTGGTCTCTGGTCCAAGACACAACTAAGGCCACAATATTCTCAGCTACCCACACCTGGACAGAAAGCCCTCCAAGCTGATGTGAATGCTTGTGAACACACTTAGGAAGAAGGACAAGGCCTACCTTGGCAAGGCCAGAGCCAAGAAAAGGTCTGACAGACACAGGGGAGGGGCAGGAGGCAGAACGGGAGTGGGGGTGGGGGATGAGGAGTTCAGTCGGTATAGCCAACAACAAGACAGTAGCTCTCAGAGCTGGCAGACACAGACAGAAGGAAGTCCCCAAGGGAAAAGCCTATTCTCCAGATGGGACAGAGGGGACAGCAGTGGAAGGCAGGGTGGGAGGTGCCAACAGGGGAGGGCTACGCAGCCGGTGCTCCTTAGTTTTAAGTGACAGGGTTCTACAGGTGGACTGCCTTTCTGGACGCTTCCAGAACAGAAACCGGTGACAGAAACGGGTGGCGGGCTTCAGGGGCTCCCGGCTGCAGGAGTTCGTGACTAGGGCTGGGGGAGAAGGTCAGCAGGGTAGTCAGAGGGTGTGGCTAGAGAGAGAGGAGAGGAAGCTGAGGTTAGGGGTGATCACAGAGGCCTTGGGAGCTGAGCCCTGAGAGGAGAAGAAGGAGGGTGACGGGTGGGGAGAGCTCCTGGGGACGCAGGAGTGGAGGACAGGGAAGAGAATGACACAGTGGGTGGCAACTGAGGCAGAGCCCCTGGAGGTGTCACAAGAGGTCAGTGGGAGGGCACTGAGAGCCCAGGGGAGCAGGTGTCCACCCTCCCACTGTGCAGTAAGTCTAGCTATGGCCCCATAACAACTTCTGCAGAGACTGAGCGCCTCTGCCTGGGGTAGGCTGTCTCCCTCAAGAACCAAAGTCCTTTCCGCATCCTTGCACAGGCACAGACTGCTTCTGCAAGCCTTCAGCAGTGCTCAGAGAAAGGAGATGGAAGTGCCCCACAGTCTTGTGTGGACACAGAAATCTGACTCGGCCGAAGCAAAGAGGAGCTTCTTCTTTTATGGAAAGAAATGTCAAAGGTCAGACACATTAAGTAATTTGTCCTAAGTATTTCCTTTGACCACACAATGTAGGAGTCAGGGCTTATTAGAGAGTTTTTGTTTTTTTTTTAAGATTTATATTTTTAAATTTTATGTGTACGTTTGACCCCATGCACACACACACGTATGTATGTATGTATGTATGTATGTATGTATGTATGTATGTATGTATG